CCAGGTAAAAAAAGGTCATTCATCTGACAAGGTTTTTTTTCCTTTTTTTCAGGGAAAAAAAAAAAAAAAAAAAAAAAAAAAAATTCCTAGTTAATAAAATAAGATTAATTTTTAATTTGTAATGGAAATTATTTCGACTAAAACCATTCATTCATTCCAGTTAATTAGCAATAAAACGTTAATTAGACTTAATGATGATGATCATGAAGGAAAGTGAATGTGCAAAAGATTCTTTCAAATGAAAAGAATTCAGTAATAGATTTCAATTTGATCTTACACATTCACTGATTCGTTGATTATTAATAATAATGATAATCAAAGTAATTTCAAAGAAAATTAATAATTATTATTATCTGACAGGCATAAAAATATGATCATCATATTTTCAATTGTTAAATTAATCGATTTGATTGATTGATTGATTGATTGATGCCGGATATTGTAATAATAATTTTTTGTTAATGAATTTTTTCTTTGACATTTTTTTTTCGTTTGTAATTCTTCTTTTGTTGTTGTTGTTGCTGTTTGTCAGTTAATTCCTTGAAAAACGAATGAATGAATGAATGAAAAATTTCATGATCAATGTCATTGATATCAATTAACAATGAACATTATCATCATTAGAAAAATCAATTTGTTAATGATTGATTTTTTTGCGGAAAAAAAACGATGATTCGAAAGAATTTTTAAGGAAAAAAACTGGAATTGTTTTTTCCCTTTAAAAGTTGCAAAAAGTTTTCACTGTTGTTGTTGTTGTTGTTGTTGATCATCATTAGCTTGTGTGATGGACGGGATTTAAAAAATTGTTTAAAAATTTTCAAAATGTCTGTTTTTTCTTCACTTGTTGTTGTTTATCAAATCAATTGATAATTATCATTTAATTTTGTTGTTTTGTAAAAAATGTTGTTGTTGTTTTTCTGTGCATTTGATTTCAATATTTCCAGTAGGTGTTTGGAACATATCAATCAAATCGGGTCAATGATTTTCATTTCATTTGATTGAAAAACTGATTATTATGATGATGATAATGAGAAATGTATAAGAAATGACAATTAAGTTCACTTCATTTCATTCAATCGATTTTCTATTTATAGTTTGTTTTCTTTTTGTTTTGACTGTCAAAACAAAACAAACAAATGTAAATCTCAATCATTTATTGATCGATTCTCAATTTGTTTTGTTTTTAATTACATCTTTACACGAATTTCATGTTTTTTTGTTGTTATTTTTTTTCTCCTAATTTTTATTTTCCAGGTATACACAAGACCATTGATAACACTAATTAAAAAAAAAGAATTGAACGAATTTGTTGTTGTTTATTTAGGTTTCAAGGTTTCATTATAATCATGCTATAAATACAAATTATGTTTATGTGTGTGTGTGTGTGTGAAAGATGGGGGTGTAAAATGGTTAATTTTAGAAAATTAAATAAATTTTGTTGATTTAAAAAATTTTATAAAAAAAAAAAAAAATTTTCTCCAAACCAAAACCCATAATTTAAGGAGTTAATTATTACGATGATTGAATACAAACCGATAAATAACCGATAATCAAATTATCCCGTTACTTTAATGATACGAAGAATCCTTTCAATTCGGTTGTTTGTAAGTTGTTGTTGTTGTTAATTAATTTTTTTTTTTTTGATAATAAAAAAAATACCTTTATCCAAAACGAATTGAATCGATGATTATGAATGATGATAACAACAACAACAACAACAACAACAACAAAATTCTTCATCGCTTTTTTTTCCTTGTTTTCACCATTATTGTCATAGGAAATTGTCTTGTTTGTTTGTTTGTTTGGATTTTTTTCTCATTGATTCATTCAATCATTCACAATCATTATGTCATCAGGTTTTTGTTTACAAAAAAAATAAAAATATTGAATTTTTCATTCAAATTCTCATCATCATTCGTAATTGTTTTGTTTTGGTTTTCTTTCATGATAAACATGAAATGGAGAAGAAAACATTCGTTTCATTTCGTACAAATCAATTATAATTAAATGTCTTTTTTACTTTCTCTCTATGGTAATCAAATGCTCTTATTTTATCTTTATGATTCTAGAATAATCTATGAGAAACAAGAAAAACTAAGCAACCAACCAACCAAACCAACCCAAAATTGAAATAATAAAATGATCTCATGTGATACGACCATACGGCTGGTTCAGAGAAGCCAAAGAAGAAAAAAAAACGTTTAGAAAACATCATCATCATTAACCTTGAACATTGAGAAAAATTTTTTACTCAAAAAAAAAACAAAAAATATTTTTTAAAATAGCTTGAAGCAATTGACAAAATGTTTTTTATGTTTTTTTTTGTTGTTGTCTCGAACCAAATCGACTAATTATCTTTTTTTTTTAAATTATCAGTTTTTTTCACTTTCATTTTTCATTATTCCAGGATCAAAGAAAATTGGGTGAATTTTTGTTGATCGATCGATCGATCGATCAATCAATATCATCCCGATATAACACACACACACGCCATCACAATAATTAATTAACTAGAAAAATGCGGTTTTCTTTCATCAACGACAAAACTCTGAAAATCTGTGAATTTTCATCTTAAGTTCGATTGGGGGGAAGGGGATAGAAAACCATCATAAAATCATT